CTTAACCACAGCAGAAATAATACCCTACAGCATCTTTTTTTTTCTTGCCACATTCTTACGACTTTCCCTTTGTCTCATTCTCACCCCATTCCAGAGGGAACCGTAAGTCACCCTTAGATGTTCTGGTTTTAAAGTTGTGATTTCCCACTCAAGCAGGGAACAAATCATGGCAGTTTTGTTGACACGCTTCACTGACCATTCAGTCGGTGTTGAAGCCAAACGTCCCCGAAGGGCAGGATCTTCCTCATGAGACAGAGAGGGAGGCAGAGTTTGGCTTTTCTCTCTGCCCGCCCTTAGTTTTGAGACCGGATGAGATACCTGCTCCACTTCGACCAGAAAATTTCTCAACTATAGTTATTATACTGGGAAATGTGATGATGAAAGGCAATGTTAAGAAGCAGTCGCAAGTATTCATAGGGCAACAGTTCATAGCAAAAAGTGTACACTCTCTCACACACTTCCTTTCATTCCCTTCCTCTTCTCTCTCTCACTCACGTCATGCACACACACACACACACACACACACACACACAGAGAGAGGGAGGGAGGGGGAGAGAGAGAGAGAGAGAGAGAGGCATACCCTTAAAAGACTGTCCTGCTAGGTATGCTTAAAAGAGCAGCGAGAAGGGGTGGGTCTGACACCCCATTTTCTTTTTCTGGGTTAGGAGCAGAAAAGGACTTTGAGCCAATGTCATAGAGCTATTCACAGAAGTAAAAGCACATAGGAAGGAAGCCACACAGACTGTCCGAGCTGTGGGACAGGCAATAGGCAATGACTCACTGCAGGAAATTCTCTTCCTATCAGAACCACAAGTGAGTGACGCCATAAGACTCGGAATGCCCAAACACGTGTTGGGTTCCCACTCTGCTGGGCTTCCTGGTTGACTCCAAGCCTGCTTTAATCCACAAAACTCAGCTCTTGAAATGCAGACCTTTTTGTCAGCAGACCTTTGACACAGAGAGCACCGAAGATAGCGGCGGGTGAATCAGCAGTGAAATTCTCCCATGTCAGAGCACTCCCCCCCCCCCAGGGGCTCCAAATAGTGAAGAGGGTTGTTTCATCCCCTCCCTCTTTTTGCTAGTTGCATAAATGTACTTTTACATTTATATTTCAGATTTTTTTTTCCCATTTGAAAATAACCCTAAAACAAAACAAAAAAGAATGATGGCACAGATATTAGCCTTTAAAAAAGCTTTCACTGTTGACTCCCACATGGAAACACTTTTTTGTGGACAAAGCTTCAGCCTATGGAGCCTTGATAGCGCAGTTTCACCACATTCTCCTCACTCTTTTTACAGTACAGATGGGTTAACTAAAGAAAGTTATAATCTGAAACAATGATTTGACTTTGTGTTCTATCACTCAATGTTGGCCAATTAATCAAACTACCATCCCACCAGTACTTCTAATAGAAGTCCACAAGTGGGCAGCAAAATGGGGTTTTCATGCTTCTATCCAACCGGCAAGCTGGGAGCATGCACCTAAATTTTAATAAATTGGGAGCATGTTTCATACCTGTGAGGAGGATATTCCAGGAATGGGTATCAGGACAGGAAAAAACTGCTTCCTGACTGATGCAAAGCTAAATTCTGCTGGATGAGGCTCACCCAAGACACCCTCTGCCAGTGATTGCCAGTCTAGCAGTTCTAAGGCCATCTCAGATAGCTTGATCCCAACATGGTGAGCAATTTGGCAGTCAGTGCAGCATTTTCAGCAGTGATATGCGTAACATCGCACAGCCCAATGCCAGGGAATTGTTCACTGGCTGCAATTTCCAGACCTGCAACTGAGAATCCCTACGGAACATCTCCAGCAACAGAAGAGCGAAGGGAGCAGTGCCAAGATCCCTAGGGCTGAGCTGATTCTGTTCAGAAGAGCCATAGCTGGCAGAACAATTACAGTGCTCCTTCTCATGGTTCTGAGGGACATACCTGTCCTTTGGAAGTGCAACTCTGTCCAGGAGAGGTGAAGTAATTATTGCCTGGACTGGGGAGTCCGCTTCACCAGGATTCACTCCCCATTTGTAAGCCCCATCCTGCTCACCATTCATCCAGATATTATCTTAAGACTTGCAATGTTTCTCATGATTCAGAAGTCAATGTGATGCCACCCATCTACTGATGACATTCTGCTCCAGGTTTCCTAATGATTCCTCCAACAGTTTCACGTACATTTTAAACTGAATTACAGACAAGATTTTTGTAATACCTTGTAATACTTCTTAACACACTTGCTGTGGGTTTGGCAGGTGTGATTGAGACTCTCCCTGCAAGCAGTCCAGGATGACACAAACGTAAGAAGAAATGGAAAGGAGAACCAAAAGGAGCCCCAACTTTGGTCAAAAAAGAGCCAGGTGAAAATAAAAAATCCAGGAGCCTTTGGCAAAAAACATTAATGGAAACAATAACAACTTTTTTAAATTGTCAAAGAAGGAAACTGCACAGAGGAGCAGTTGGGCTGATGGATGACAAACTGAATCTTTGCATCTACAGAAGATTATTGGCACCCACCTGAGGCTGTACTGACTTTCTCAGGGAAGAAACCGGAGCGACTAAAGCAAACAGAGGTAATAATATTCGGGACATCCTGAGCCACTACACAGTTAGTCCTGATGGCACCTGATCATTCTTAAAAGAATTCAAATGATGATGATGGTTTTATTATCTACTTATTATTACATTTGTATGCTGCAAATGTAGTACGACTCCCAATGAGGCTGGATGGCTCACAAGTAAAAATATTTCAAAATAATACAATCAGAAACAAAAAATAAGGAATAACAGATAGCAAGATGACAGAAGCCAGAAAAAGAATCCAAGAGGGCTTCGCTTTCCCTCGCTAAAGGCCTGGGAGAAGAGCCAGGTCTTGATGCCCCTTTGAAACACCAGCAGGTAGGGACCAGATCTCGGGGAACCTCATTCCAGAGGGCAGGTGCTCCAGCAGAGAAGGTGCATTCCAGGGCCCCAAGAGATGACTTAGTTTAGTCAAAGGAACCCAGAGTGCAAGATCGGATTGGCCAGGCAGATGCTATGGGAGACAGGTGGTCCCTCAGGTGACTGGGCCCTATGCCGTGTAGGGCTTTATAGGTAACAACTAGCGTCTTGAATCGCATCTGGAAGCAAACCAGCAAGTAGTGCAGCTCGCAAAGCAGAGGTGTTACATGGGCATACTGAGGCATGTCCATTACTGCTTATGCCGCCCCATTCTGGACCAATTGAAGCTTCTGGGTGGTCTTTGAGGACAGCCCCACATACAGCGCATTGCAGTAGTCTAAGCAGGTGGTGATGAGGTCATAAGTCACCGTAGCAAGATTCTCCTGCTCCAGGTAGGGTCACAACTGGAGTACCAGCCAAGCTGGGGAAAGGCCCCTCTTTTTGCAACATATGTAATTCATCCTTCAAATTGGCATCCATGCCAAAGGCCTGGAAGGTAAGCAAGGGACACCAGTTTGGAAAAAAGGACCCAGGAAGGTCTGGGAAATTATAGGCTGATCTGTTCTGGGTATGTGGTAATCAGAGAAAACCATCGCTAAACCCTAGAGGAACAAGCCTCCCTTTCTGCGTCACTTACCTTTCAGAACATTTTGAAAGGCACGTGGATGTAGGTGATCCTGTCAATGTAAACAGGTTTCAAAAACACCTTTGACAAAATTCCTCATCAAAGATTCCTGAGTAAACTGAGCAGTTACGGACAAATGAACCTTCCTTTTATGGATCAATAATGGTTAGAAAACAGAAAACAAAGAACAGAAATAAGCGGGCGATTTTCTCAGTGGAGAGAAATAAGAGGAGAATTTCCCCAAGAATTTGGGCTGGGATTGGTGCTTTCTGATCTGTTCATAAGTGGTCTTAATTTAGGGGCAAGGAATAAGCTGTCTAAGTTTGAGGATGATACTAAACTCTTCAGGATGGTAAAAAAATAAAAGTGACTGTGAGGAGCTTTGGAAAGATCTCTTGAAACTGGTGAATAGTATAGGTGCCGGTGCTACACTCAGCAAAGAGTACAGCACCTGTGAAAAAGGCCAACAGTAGGTCTCACTGGGGAAGGGAGTGAAAGTTTGCCTTATGCAAACTGACCATCCTGCCTTACTGAAATATTATGTACAGCAAAATTTGCCACGTTTGAAAAAGAATACAACAGAGTTGGAAAAAATGCAGAAGTCAACCAAAATGATCATGAGAAGACCTTCCTCACGAGAAAAGGCTAGGCCATTTGGGACTCTTCTGCTTAGAGAAAAAAGTACAACAGACTAGGGTCACGATTAAGATGTATAAAACCATGCCTGGAATAAATAAGGTGGATAGGAAGTCGTTTTTCCTCCCTCTCTTAAAACAGAGTGAAGCTGGTTGAGAGGACATCTAGAACAAACAAAATGAAGTCCTTCACACAATGCACAATTCGTCTGTGGAATCCATTATCATAAAACATAGTGATAACCAACATCTTGAATGGCTTTGCAGGGGGATTAAATACATTCATGGAGGGCCAGTCTATCAAGGGCAATCAGTCTCTATTATCTTGGAATCCACTTGCAAGGAACAACAGCAAGAGAGCTTTATGTTGGCATCTGCTGCTTGCAAGTGCCCAGAGGCATCTGCTTGACCACTGTGAGAAACAAAAAGCTGGACTGAAATGGACCTTGGCCAAATCTAGCAGGGAGTGTGTTTGAGTCCCTTCCCAGCCAGTTAAGCCAGCATTCATGAGCAGTACCACCATGAATGCACAAAGCCCGTAATCTGAAGGGATTCTGATCATGTCATAAAGCAGAAGTGAAATCTTCAATAGTTTCCCACATGACAATTTTTGTGGAAACATTCACTATTTTTTAAGGAATTCTACATTTTCACAATCCTGCAACCGCATCCTGTTCTTAGAAGGAAATAGATAGTTGCTTGTGAAAGGGAAGTTCTGCTATGAGGGCATCTTCTGCTTCGGCAGCAGCCACGTATATAAGAGTTGGCTGGGACAGCAGAGACCAGCCTACAGGGAGAGGAGAGGTTGGAGGTTGGAGGCTGAAGCTTCCCTGCCCTGCAAAGAATCTGCTGGCATTTTTGTGCAGGTACAACGTTTACCCTGAATTCTGTCTGTCTGTGTGTGTGTTTTCAGGAAGAGAAGTGTGTTTCCTCTAGCAAATAAGGCAAAATTCTTACCTCAGGCATTTTCTGAAAAATCATACGGAAGACACACCTTAATGAATTTGTAATATATAATGCCAGGAGTCCTTCTGGCTCTAATCAGAAGTGACAGATTTTACTGTCAGAAATAAGGAAAAAGGTCTGACTCGCTTTTTTTTCCCTGTGCTTTATAGTATGAGCGGGATGCAGTTCTATGCAGCAGACCAGCCCTCCTTGACAAAGGTAAGATGCTCAGCCACCTTCTTCTGATCATACAAGGTTCCTAGGACACTTGGAAGTTACTTCATCAGCATTTACCTGCAACTGCAAACTCGGGCATCTGCAAGCCATCTGGTGCTCCAACAAGTATCTGGAGCTCAGCCGAGGCTTCTTAGCCTGCTGGACCAGCCAGGCCTTTTTTCCAACCTCTTCCTCTTCCTGGAGTATGGGGAAGATGAAAGTGCCCAAAGCCTAAATTCACGTAGCTCAGGTGAATCTGGCTTGGGACGGTGTGGCCGCAGAGGGCAGGACTGGACTTGGCATCTTTGTAACTTGATTGACCACCTTTCACAGTCCAGACGTCAGAGCCCCCCGTGGTCAAAATCATGATCACTTGCCCAAAAAAAAAAATGTGATGCGGACTTCACTAATGGCATCCTATTTCTTGTGGCCACTTCGGCCATCATGTCTCATTGCTCAAAGCCACAAACCATCACAATCAGAATCTAACTTTCTGGAAGTATGAATGTGCAGCATGCAGAATTTGGGTTGCCAGGCTTCAGCCGAAGGATATGCAGAAGCAATCTTTTTGTTTTTACCTGCCACTGTATTTACTGTCCGTGAACAGGTACCTTAATGTTTCTGACTACACATTCTCTGTGTGTGTGTGTGTGTGTGTGTGTTGTGTGTGTGTAAATCTTTGGGTTAGATATAAACCACTGGGCTTGCAAAAAGGTATCTGCATTTTTCCTTCCCGGGATATGGGGTTGAAGGAGGTTGGACAGGAAAGAACTTTGCTCCTGCAGTTTGCACATCTTTTAAGGGACCAAAATCTTATAAAACATCTTCAGCTCATTTCTCTTTTGCCACAGAATGCCTTCCAAGCCTGCGAGATGGATGTACAGGTAGCAGTTACCAAGAATGACCCTGTGAGGAGCTTCCGGAAAGCTGTGGTGATCGTCATTGCGATTGAGAAGATGAGGAATTCTCCCACGTTGTTCACTGATGAGGATCTGATGGACGTTCTAAGCACAGTCTTAGGTAGACCTTGCACCACCAAATGGCTATTTTATGTTTTGTGACCGTGGGAAATCCCCTCCAGCAGAGGAAGGCAGAGAGTGTTATTTCTCATACCAAGCAAGCAGCGGTGCAAACACCAGCTATGTGGTACAGGCTTATTTCCCCATCATCTAGGCAGTGCTGAAGGAGCCAAATTTGAAGTACAGAAGTTCATGATGGCTTCGTCCTGTACTCATACACCAAAGAGCAGCAATCCATGGAAAATACAGTTCTGTGTATAGTTATCAAGGACTGTTCCATTGACTTAGTGGCAGTTACCTTTGACCACATAGATTCAACTTGTAAAACAAGGGAATATTAAGAAAAAGTCTCTGACAGCTAAATGTTTACGGTTTTGTTTTAGCAATCTTTGGAGGCAGGTAGAAAAATTATCTATCTTGCAGAGAAATATTACCATTTAAACCACAAGAGTGAATTAGGAGCTTTTTTCAAACTGTCCTCTCCATTACCACACTGTCAGTTCTAGGCTAGAAGCAGCAACGTTTAGGCTACTTTGGAGGGTGAGCAGAAACTACAAAACACATTTGGCTGAACTTGTGGGTCACAGAACAAAAAAAGGGTGATTCAATGGGTGCAACATCAACAAAGAGGCAGTTGCCTTAAAGGGGGTCCAAATAAGGCTGAAGTCTAAATCAGATTTTTTTTTTTTGTTCAGAACCAGTCAGATTTGACCACTATGGATGCACAGAAGCCACTAATTCCATCTATCAGTTCTCAAACCACATTGTCTGCAACATCCAAGATGCTGATCAGAAGTCTCTCATCTTGCAAGAGCCTCCACAGCTGGTGGCCATGCATCTTCAGGGCCCCAACATCAATTGTGCAGGTGAAGCCAAGTTGCTACCCCTCCCTTGCCAGGCCAAATCATAGGGTGGGCCCAACCCTACACATTCCATCTTGAGAGCCCTTTCTGTGTTAAGCCAAACAGAAAATGATATTTTGATTTTCACCACTAATTTTGTTTCCCCATATTTTTCAGTGAAGTTAAAAATGTCTGTGTATCGTCCAAAAGTCGAGGCTGGAACTCAAAAGATCCCTGTTGCATTGAACATCAAGGGCAAGAAACTCTATCTATCTTGCGTACTGAAAGGGGGGCAGCCAGTGCTCCAGCTGGAGGTCAGTCATCGTGGTCCTCTCTTCTCTGCTGTTATTCAGAAGTGCGGCAAAGGGGGGAGCTGTGCAGCCCAATCCTGGGATGCCTTTTTATGTTTTAGCAATGACCATATTGCAGAGTGCTGAGCAGGAATTCCTACTCAAAAAGCTGGAGGGGGTCCAGGGCTTGATGTTTCACAGAATCTGACTGGATGGAGCCTTGGAGTCCAAATTGCTGCAAAACTTAAGAATTCATTTTAAAGTCTGTGCCTGAAGACATTCCATGAAGGAGAGATCACAACCTTCCAGATCAGGAGATTCTCCTAATATTCAAATGGAGGCTGTCTTTCTGTGGGTGGTTATTAGAGGCCTTTTGCTTTTTGGGTGAGAGCCCTTCTAGGTATTCTAGTATTCTAGGTATTCAGTACACCAACAAAACTGAAGCCTACAGCAGGATGAGCCTAGCTTTGACATGGGTTCTATATCCAATCAGCCTTAACCTGACAAGTATGGATGGTGTCCATTCCCAGCTCTTACCTGTTTCTCTGAATAATTGTGGTGTATTTGAAGCCCTTACCCCCCCCCCCCGCCCGCCAAAAAAAAGTGGCTGTCAATGAAGCTTGAGGGAGATGCTGGCTGAGTATCTGTCTCAACAAGATGCCAGAGCAGAGCAGAGTCCTGGCCATGCCCAGCACTGCAAGTAATATCGAGCTTGGTTCTGACAGTAATGAGCCATGGCACTCGGGACGGAAGGCTTCGGAAAGGCTTCAGGCAGAAGGTGGGGCTGTGCCAAGAAGGGTGCAGGGAAGGGAACAAATCCTATGACTTTGGTTGTTGAAAGTCAATTCAGCCTGAGTGGCTTCTGTCTGTTGGATTCCTCCAAGGTGACGTATCTTTCTTTGCAGGACACATATCTTAGAAGGGATGGATGTTTAGGGATCCAGGACTGAAAGGCAACTCGGAAAAGCCTTGGGCAGTAAAGCAAGCCTGCTAGCCCAAGGCTTTTCCAAGCCTTGGTTTAGCCTGTATGTAGATCATCCATGACTCCCATACTGCATTCCAATAATTATTCACATTTTCCTTCTGCAGGAGGCCGACATCCAGGGGGACCTCGACAAATCTCAGCTGGGCCGGTTCCTCTTCTACAGAATTGACACTGAAAAGCACACAAGGTTTGAATCAGCCGCTTTCCCGAAATGGTTTATCTGTACCTCCACGCAGCCTGAGGAGGCAGTTGCCCTGACTCACCAGCCCGGGGGCCCTCTGGTCATTGTGGATTACACCCTCTCCAGCTAGTGACCAGAGCCTGCTGGGCTCCGGTTCCAGCCTGCACAGGCATTTCCGTCTCTTTGCTATGTAAAGAAGCAGAAGTTTGCAGCCCAAAGGAAAGAGTGGTCAGAGGATGATCCAGCCTAAGCTTTATCGTTGGGGAGGAGGAAGGAGTCTCGGAGTCTTTGAACCAGAGAGAATGGAAAAGGGGGGGCAGGGTATATTTAATATATATATTTATTTATAATTTAATAAATATTTTGCCGGTTTATACCAGACATATGATGATAAATTAAGTTTTATATTGAATGCCTTTATTAATAATTTAATAAATAATTTATGCCAGATGTTCTTGATTACGTTGAATAAATGGCTTAATTTGTAACTCTTTCTTTCTGCTTGGCGATGGGCCTTGCTCCAAATTAAGGGCAAGGGGGCCCAAGCTCACCGGGCAGGTGGGGGCCGAAACAGGGGCCTCCCAGCAGCGGCAGCTTGGGGGGAGCTTGGCGCGCCCCCCACCGCCACGGGTCTCCCCGCCCAGCTCCTTCGACCTCCAGCCCGGCGGGGGGGGGGCCCCTGTTCTCCGCCCACAAAGCTGCACCCTGCTTGACCCGAGGCTGTCCCTTCGGAACAGCCAA